TTCCCAGTGTTCTGGACGGATGTGTGTGCTCTCACATACGTGTGGCAGGCAACACGTATGTCCACGGATATGCTTGTTCACATACCCACTCACGGCGTGTACACACACATGCACACCCGTGCCTTCCCCATACACATGCACACCCACACACATGCACACCGTGGCTGTGTTCACACGTGCAGTGTCCATGCACAGACCCACATGGGCTCACACTCATTGCACACGTGCACGGCACACACTCGCGCTCGCACTCCCCTCCTCCCCAGCACGGCCCCCCTCTGCCTCTTTGCTCTCCAGGCCCCCACCCCCCCGCACCCTCCTGACTGCAGTCGGCTGTGGCCAGTCTCCAAACCTGAGATTAATTACAGTCTTTAAAGACTCGCCCGGAGAGTTGGGTGGGGAGAAGGGAGGCCGAGGGTGTGCTGATAGCTGGTGGGTGGACCTTAAATTGTGGGTTGGGCCTGTTTGAGCTTGTTCTCTTGAAAAACCCTAGAACAAAGGGCTGGTGATGAGGGCTCTCCCCTGGGGCCCTCTCTCAGTCTCTGACACCCTCCATCTGGCCCCCAAGTGCAGGAGAAGACAGGCCCAGTGCCAGGCCTGCTGGGGGACCCCCCGAGGGCCCCAGGGGCAATTCCCGAGTAGGGGCAGAGCCTCTGTGCCCTCATCAGTCCCTGTGGTCTCTTCTCTTGGGCGCCCTCCTCGTGGAATTTCCTCCGTTCCCAGGACAGGGGGTCCCTACTGCCCCCTCCTGATAACTGGATCCATCACCTTTATAGTAGGTCCTCCCCCAGCCGCCTCCTCAGTCGTCCTAACTCCCCTTAGGAGCCCCTTTGGCCAAGAAAACCCCATTTCCCTCCATCCAGGGACCTTTTCTCTTCCTCCCCCTCTGTGCTCAGTTGCAAGTTTGCCTGAACTCCTGGGTTCCCTGCCACAGGGAGGAACCCTTGACACCGTAAGACCTTGTAGGGACTTCACTCTCCCGTCCAGGAAGGGACCGATCCGGTCGGGGAGCATTAATGGGAGGTCAGCATCACCTGTGTCCCAGGCGCAAGCTGGCCAGTGGTCAGACCTTCCCTCCCATACTGGCCAGTGGTCAGGCCTTCCTTCCCATGTGGCCAGTGGACGCTTCACAGAGCCAGCGTTCTGCCCTGTGGGACGGGGGCTGTCTCAGTGACCCACCCGTGGGACCAAGGGAGGTTTTCTGGGTAACAGAGACCTGCTAACACTGAAACCCTATGAATAAATTAATCCTTTATTCAAGAAGGTATCTCCCAGTTTTGTGGCCTCTGGTCACAGTTGTGGCCTCTGGTCATTGTTGCGTAGCTGGGCGGAGGCTTCTGAGTGGCCCGCTGTGCTGAGCGGCCTGGGGACGAATTTCAGGTGGTAAGAACGCTCCACGGCGCACCCCCGCCAGGCGCTCGATTGCAGCCACACAGGTCCTGGTCGTCCTCTCTTAGGAAAGGGCAAAATGCCCAAAGTCTGCTTTTAAAAATTAACAGACTATATATATATATTTTAACAGTTTTAGCTTTACAGAAAAATACAGAGCTNATATATTTTAACAGTTTTAGGTTTACAGAAAAATACAGAGCTCCCCCATCCTTTCCCACCCACTTCTGCGTCACGTCTCCTACTAATACCTTGTGATAGTACATTCGTTACAGTTGCTGAACCAGTAGTGATACGTTATCGTTAACCAAGGCCCCTCGCTGACGTCCGGGCTCGTTAGGGCACGTGGGACATCAGGGTTCTCTGTCACGTACGTCCTGTGGATTTTGACGAATCATGGGGTCGTGTAGCCTCCATTACAGTATCACAAGGAATAGTTCCACGTCCCAGGAGAAAATGTGCCCCCCATTCCCTCCTCCCCACACCTCTGGCAACCACTGATCCTTTTACTGACCCCGTATTTTGCCTTCTCTGGACGGTCATACAGTTGGGATCATACAGTGTGTCTCCTCGGTCCTCCCCCTTTACGGGGAAACCTGTGTAGAAGGCTCCTCCACGCCGCTCATGACGCAGTAGCTCGTTTCGTCTTATCGTTGAAGAATATTCCACTGTCTGGATGGGCCACAGTTTATCCATCACCTGCTGAAGGGCATCTTGGTTGCTTCCAGGTTTTGGTAACTATGAAGAAAGCTGCTAGAGACATCTGTGTGCACAGCTTTTCAACTCATTTGGGTACATACCTGGGCCAAAGCCAGTTTTTATTTATTTCCTTATTTATTTATTTAATACTCACCCGAGGATATTTTTTCCATTGCTTTTCAGAGAGAGTGGAAGGGAGGGAGAGAAACGTTGATGAGAGAGAAACACGTGGATTGGTTGCCTCCCACTCATGCATCGACCGGGCCGGGGGATTGAGCCTGCAACCGAGCTACATGCCCTTGGCCAGAATTGAACCCGGGACCCCTCAGTCCATAGGCCGATGCTCTAACCACTGGGCCAAACCAGCTAAGGCCAAAAGCCACTTTTAAAAAAAATTTATTTTTATTGATTTGAGAGAGAGAGGAAGAGAGAGAGAGAGAAACATCAATCGGTTGCCTCCCACACGCACACTGACCGGGGGATTGAACGCACAACCTGAGTTTGTGCCCTGACCAGAAATCGAACCTTTTAAAAATACGGTTTTTGAGCCTGTTTCCTAAGGAGTCAGAAGGAAAGTGTTCTCTCCCTTCCTTCAAAAGACAAACGGGAGGTGGAAATAAGCGAAGCCCAGCGAGGTGGAATGTTCCCTCGTTTGGGGAGATTAAAGTGCTCAGATCTGGCCAGAGGCCCACGGACGTAGCTCACCCTGCCCCGTAATGTCATGGACCCTGGAGGCGGCCAGGTTGGCGATGGCTGACATCCTTCAGAGACCTTGACAGAAAGATGACCCTGTAGACAGCCCCGGCAGCCGGGCCGGCTCGGAGCGTTTCCCGGGGCCGGTGGGTCACTGTGGAATGCGGTGGGCGGAACGTGGGGACTTTTAAAGGGATCCCTTTTCCTCATTTTGCCTAATAATGACATTTTATACCCCCGCCCATGTCCCTGGATTTCTCTGTCTTGCATTTTCTCTTATTTTTAGTCTTCCGTTTATATCTTCTCGCCACCGTGGCTGCTCTCCAGGCTCCCGTGGCCCCAGAATCACCCATCTCAGTTGCTTTTCTTGGACCTCGCTTTTTAAAGCTGTTTTCCTCCACAGTATTTGTTCTGAAACCAATTTCTCCTTTGATGCCTCCGTGTGGCTCCCGTTCTTGCCAGGGAGAGGGGTTTAACGTGCTGGAAACAGGCCCCGTGCTTTAGATTGAAATGGGGCTACTTCAGAGTCAGGTTTCCCAGATTCCCAGGCGGGGCTGTTGCTGGCGTGTGCGTGTGTATGTGCGTGTGCATGTGTGCATGTGTGCGTGTGGCAATACCGTACATGCTTGAATATAAGGTCAGGGGTATGATTTGTCCTAAGTGTCTTCAGAAAAGAGGAATTGCCCTACAGAGTCCTTGCAAAGTGTCTCATCGGATGGGGCGCAACGTCAGTTACTTAGTTGGAGAAGACACGTTAACCTTGACTGACTCACGATGCCTTTGGGTGCCTTTGGAAATCCCCCAAGGAAACCAGGAGAAATAGTCATTTCACCACGATTTTGATAATAGCTTCCAGAGACCTCACACTCGCGAAGGTCTGTGAGATCACTCTCGAGAACAATCCACTGAGTGGCTCATTTATCAAGATTTTAAACGGCGCTTATTATTTAAATAGCCCGGGAACCGCATCAGAGAGAGTCAGAAAGTGCTTTATTGCAGCCCTGGCTGGCGTGGCTCAAAAGCTTCACTTACTCTCTCCTGCCAGTTTGGACTCCACACATACGGGTTGTGGGACGGACAAATTTTACCTGCGATTAGTTTTTAAATCTGCCTCCCTGAGCCTGTTGTGCTCTCCTCTGGCTGGTGCTGCTCCACCGTCTCCCAAGCCCGTGGCCATGATGTTCCCCGACGGTTCAGGCCAAGCCCTCTAACCCGGTCCCAGTTCACTCCTAGGTGCCAGCGTCCATCCTGTGATAGGCAGTTAGACAGACACGAGCAGAGCCAGGACCACGGCCAGGTACAGAAGGTCGCCAGGGCGGAAAGCCCCAGGTGCCTAGCAAAGGACAACTGTAGGGCGGGACCTCCCCCCAGGGCGGCCTTTCCTCCCCTAGCGCGTCACTGGTCATGCGGTTTGGACCCCTGACCTTTCCTCCCTCGAGATAACATCTGGGCCCCAGTTGTATCTCAGCTCCAGGCCCAGAAAAGCAGCAGAACCAGCCTCGGCTGACCCAGGACCAGCTGCACTGACTAATAACCCCCTGCCCTGGCGCCGACCAGTCCACCAGTGGAGACCACAACCTGAAAGGACCCACCTGGAAAGCTGCTGAATATTCTGAGACCTTCCCCTAAGATCTCCACCCTTAAAACCCTCAGGGTGGTGGACCCAGCGCTGTTCCTCCCGGGGACACGGCTTCCCTTCCCCTTCCCGTTTTCTCCCCCCCCCCAGGGGTGTCACCTTTACCTGCCTCAGTCCCCAGCTCCAGGGGCCCTTCCTTTACCTCTATACCTGGTTTCCTCAGCCCACGTCTTCTACAAATTACTTCTTCCACCTGTGTGGTTTTATAAATAAATGTTCTTATAGTTTTAGTCTTGGCTCCGAATTCTGTCCTAGTCAGACTCAGGTACCGAGGTTGCTGAACCCGGGTCCGGTCTGGCCCAGCGGCCAGACACCTGGTGCCGTCCTGCCCACAACAGGCCCACTTCTTCTGGACGTGCTCTGCCCTCTGGGTGCCTCGTCTCCTCCCAGACCCTGTAGCAGTTTTAGTCCCCGGCAGTGAACTGTGTCACGTCTTACGAGTATTTAGTGACTGAGGCAGGAAGCTTTATGGGTTGGTTCCCAGTGGCCCTCAAACCATTCCTTTCCCTTCAGACGCAGAACGTGATTCCGTTACTGCAGATAGATGCCCAACTGACGTGTTATGTGGTTTTGTTTATTTCAGAGACTTGAAGATAGAAAATTTGCTGCTAGATGAAGACAATAATATCAAGCTGATTGGTATGACTTTTTTCTTTTTTTAAAGAAGTGTATCCTCTAAGTATAGTGCTGTCTATTGTCACTTATTTATTGCTGGATTACTGACTTAGAAAATTATTCCTGGTCTATTTTTAATCCCCACGCAATGCTTCTGCATCACTTTCTTCTACCTTCAATATCTAATAATGACCTTAAAAATGAAAATTAATTTTAAAAAGAATTTAAACATAACTAGGAAGGTAAAATGCTGTAAAGTGACTGTAAAATGAACTTCACAGCCCCGAATAAATACTTGTTGGTTACGTGTTCTTTGGATTTTTAAAGCTTCAGCTTCTCCATAAATTTAGATGGATCTGAACTTTTATTTATTTTTAATTTAATTTAACTTTTATTTTTTAAATCTTCACCAGAGGATATTTTTTCCATTGCTTTTCAGAGAGAGTGGGAGGAGGGAGGAAGAGAGAGAGGCATTGATGTGAGAGAGACACATCCAATGGTTGCCTCCCGCACGTGCCCCAACTAGGGCTGGGGATCGAGCCTGCAACCCAGGTCCATGCCCTTGACCTGGAATCGAACCCGTGACCCTGCAGTGTGCAGAGCGACGCTCTAACCCTGAGCCACACAGGCCAGGGCTGGATCATGCTTTTGATTTCTTTTTTTTTTTTTACTTTTTAATGTTTACATTTCCTATTACTTTGTATTAGTTTCAGGTGTACAGCATGGTAGTCAGCCGCTCATAGACCAGATGCCTCAGTCGTCATCTCCCAGCCCGGCAGCTGCTGAATCGGCTGCCAGACAGGCATTTCGGCTCTTTGGGCCTAAAGGGGACGTGCCAGAAGCCAGGTGTCAGAAACCAGAATTCCCGGAACTGCTGGGAGGAGGCCCTGAGCCTTGGCCCCCCCCTTTGTTAGAACTTTCCACGGGGCTCCCGGCTCTGTCATGAGCAGCTAAGGCCAAAGAGCCCCCCTCATGTGATGGGAGCCCCCCCACCCCTGCCACACGCACACACACGCACATGCACACGCACAGCACCTGGGCAGGGCATTGTTTTTCATACGCAGGGAGGGCAGGTGCTGGAGGGAAGCGATGCCCAGCCTCTTGTGTGTTTTTTGCCTCTGGGTTGGGCAATTTGGATCCAATGTCTCTACAAGGTTCCTTTTGCAGCTCGAAAGCCCTTGGAGCGTTTTCTTCAAAGGAACTTTTACCTGGTGGTTTGTCAGAGGTTGATTATGGTTATTACCCCTTCTCCTTAATGGTTTCTCTTTCTTTGAGACGTTTTGATTTAAATAATTTGACTGAAGCCGTGTTTCAAACAAACTAGAGTTAACCGGGAGTGAGATTTGATTTCATCGGGATTTTTTCCCTTCAACCACAAAGCGGTCTGACGTTTCGTAGTTTAGTACAATCTTAAGATGTAAGAGCCGCGGCCCAGAGCGTGTCGCCGCTCAGATTCCCGAAGCCGCCCTCCCCTGGGCGTTTTTTGAGACTCCAGGCGCAGCTCAGGAGACTGAGTGCCAACTGACCCAGGTGTTTACTCAGTCACAGCGAGACCACCTGTGTGACAGTGCTGGGAACTTCACAGTTCTAATTATAGGCATGTGTCTGAAATGTTAATAATTAGAATCACGACTGTGAAACGCACTGGTTTCTCTTCAAGGTATTTTAAATTAAACCCTTTTGGTTAGGTCAGCATAAGTCACTTAAAATGCAGATTTTATCTCTTCACTCCCCGTACTCTCTGCTAATTTATCTTCTTGAAACTGAGTTTGAGACAAGCAAGACTCTGGGTTCCCAAGACCGTGCGTTCCGCCTGGGAACCGCGTGGGGTGATCTGGGCTCTTATCTCACCGGCCGTCAGGCACTTTACAGACCCGGGTCCAGGAGCAGAGGACGTGGGTTGAAAGGGCCGCTCTCTGCTGTGATCGGAAGGAACCCCCTGGGGATTGGGAGAGGAGCCTTTTGTTTTAATCTCAGAAATTGAGTTTTTTGGAACTCCTAGGAGATCGACTGCTTATGAAACGCCTCTTAAAATGTTATCAAAATATATAACTTATTCCCTGGTGCTGCTTTTCCAAGTCATCATAGTGGGTGCCCTTTAAACATTCGTTGTCTCATTAAAATTTCTTCAGGTTGATTTTTTTTTAATTCTATTGATTTTTCAGAGAGAGAGGAAGGGAGAGGGAGAGAGAGAAACGCTGACGTGAGAGTGAAACATCGATCGGCCGCCTCCTGCACGCCCCCTACAGGGGATCGAGTCCGAAACCCTGGCATGTGCCCTGACTGGGAATCGAACTGGCAACCTAGGTGCACGGATGCCCCCCAGCCAACCGAGCCTCACCGGCCGCGCTCTTCAGGTTGATTTTCAAACTGAAAGCATTCCAGTGGCCGTCCAGTGGAAGGCTCCATAGGATTTTTCTTTCTGTAGAAGTATTCCCACCCCTCCCCCTTTCTTTCACTTGGGTGACGCTGTTGGGAGGGGCCTGGGAGCGGGCCCTTGGGTCCCTTTGAACAGAGATCTCCCCTAAGATGGGAGTCAGGTGCTCCTGAGGCCTCCTCGGGCAGGTGCTGTGGGCCGGCAGGGACTGGCTGGGTCCTGGGAAAGGAAACGGGGGCCGGGTGGGGGGGTGGAGGAGTGGGGAGCAGAGGAAGAGAGGAGAGGAGATGTCACGAGAGAAAAAGTGGAATCCTCAACAAACAAAGGAAGAATGAACCCGCGAATGTAGCACTTTCCGGTTGGCTTGCCGGTTCCCGTGGCAGGTTCTCATTCTTTGTCTCCTGCCCTAAGCTGGAGACTTTCGGGACCCTGAAGAGTTTTCTGAGCTCTGCACAGACGGGGTTTGGAAAATCTTTCTTTAAATAGCTCCCCCCACTGGCTGTTGTGAGGAGTTTCCAGGCACCTTGGCCACGGGGCGTCATAACGTCTCGGACTCGTCTGTGGGTCTCCTTCCCTGAGCTTTCCCGCCGCTCGCCCAGTAGTCGGGCCCTTTGCGGGTGGGGCCAGGTTAACATCAAGGAGAGGACAAGGTAATGAAATCAGGTATGAATCCCGCTAGTTGAGAGAGAGCAAGGGTTTTGTTCAAGACGTGGAGGTGGGCCCGGCTGGTGTGGCTCAGTGGCTGAGCATCGACCTAGGATCCAGGGGACTGTGGTTCGATTTCTGGTCGGGGGACATGCCCCCGGGTTGAGGGCTCGGCCCCCAGTGAGGGGCGTGCAGGAGGCAGCCGGTCGATGTTGATGTTTCTCATCGATGTCTCTCTCTCCCTCTCCCTTCCTCTCTCTGAAATCAATAAAAACGTATTTAAAACCAAAAAACCTCCAAAAAAACGTGGAGCTAGTCTCTGACCCAGCCCTGTGGGCTGACAGTCCTCCTTTTGGGGACAAGAACCGTAATATTTACATTGAGGTTCAAAAAGAGCAGCCGTGATCTTGATCCTGGGCTCAGGACCGAGGCGAGAGACCAGATGTTTAAGGTCAAAGGTTCACACAGCACCCACGGCGCAAGCACCCAGGTGGCTTTCGGTCCTTGGGCTCTTCTCTTCCCAGTTGCTTAGTCATCCGGGGCCTGGGAGCGTGTCAGCCTCGTTCCATGGCTGTCCTTCTGGGTTATTCTCGCAGCCAGCGCTCAGTGTCGTCTGACTTCTTGGGCGTATTTTATCCCCTCCTCAAATCGCCGTATGTTCCCGCCTGCACCGGGGGCATTTTCGAAAGACTCGCTTAAATGCAGACATTCAGCTGAAAAAATCCGCTCTCAGCGGTGGGATCGCGTGTCACCTGGGGGTGACGCAGCCCGAGAAAATCCGCCTTCCTGCGGCGATTTCCCAGCGGGCCGTGTGGAAGCGGGATCGTGGGCCCCACGGCCTGTGCGTGGACTCGCTTCCTGCCTCGGTCCTAGAAAGCAGAGCCTCCCTTTTTCCTGGATGACTCACTTCTGAGACTCGGGAGGGAAATGTGTTTCTGTTCCACATTCCTTTAGCTGGAGCTGGGTTTTAGAGCGAGGCCTCGTATCAGACGTTTCCGGGGAGGCCCGGGACCCCCCCGACAGCCGCCTGCCTGGGGACCCACGGCCAAGGTTACAGTTTGCATCTGGTGGGGGTTCTGCCTGCTGAAGGACGTGTTGGCCCAGAGGATGTTTCCTCTCCTGCTGCGTTTTTTGTTTTTTTTCCTTCCTGCCTCATGTCCACAGTTTTCTAACGTGGACCCCGGCTGTCCTTCCCCTTTGCAGACTTCGGTTTGAGCAACTGTGCAGGGATCCTGGGCCACTCGGACCCGTTCAGCACGCAGTGTGGCAGCCCCGCCTACGCCGCGCCCGAGCTGCTCGCCAGGAAGAAATACGGCCCCAAAATCGACGTCTGGTCCATGTGAGTTGCCGAGCTCCTGGAAGCGAGCGCTCCCCCCGCGGTCACCTTGCCCCTTCCTTCCGAAATGAGTGTTTGATGAGAACGCATTAGACTCTAGGTTCCGGTTCAGATATTCGGCGACTCTTTGAAGGCTGGCTGTTCATCCTCCTTCCTTTTTTGTTTTTTAGTCTATTTCTTGGTCAAGTTTTGTTTGGTTTTAAATGTCTTTATTGATTTCAGAGAGAGGAAGGGAGAGGGGGAGAGAGAGAGACGCCGGTGCTGAGAGAGGAGCGTCGGCCGGCTGCCTCCTGCACGACCCTCGTGGGCCCCGGCGTGTGCCCTGACCCGAAACCTAACCAGTGACCTCCTGGTTCGTGGGGTGACACTCAACCAACCGGGCCACGCAGGCCGGGCTCACCTCTCCTCCTTCTGGTCCCTTCTGCACACACTGCCCGGGAGGCCTTTACGGACCCCGTTTAGGTGCTGGGGACACAAGAACCAAGCCCGGCACTCACGGATCGCACGTGGTTTTGCGGCTGGAAATCCTCCTGGAGCTTCCGCCAGCACCCGCAGACCCTCAGCTCTGGTGTGGGGGATGGGTGCTGGGGCTCACACTCCCTGCGGGAC